TTTTCCCCATTTTGAACTTCTCTGGTCAATTTTACAAGTTTCTCATCTAACTTTTGTGCTTCTTTCACTTGTTCAAGTAATATTGGCTTTACTTGTAAATTAGCAATAGCTGAACCGTTTGAATCAAGTGTAAAACAAACATTCAAGGCTCTTAACTCAAGGAGCAAGGGTAAAGGACTCAAAGAAATGCTTGCGAAGGATTTCCGACTTGAGGCATCTGCAACCACATTGGCTTTACCTGGATGATAATCAATTGTGTAGTCATAATTCTTGATGAGTCCAAGCCATCTACGTTGTCGAAGGTTTAGCTCCTTTTGAGTACCCAAATACTTTAAGATCTTGTGATCAGTGAAGATATGACACTTCTCTCGATATAAATAATGCCGCCATATTTTTAAAGCAAACATTATAACAACAAGTTCAAGATCATGAGTAGGGTAATTCAATTCATGCGGTTTTAATTTCCGAGAGGCATAAGAAATTACCTTCCCTTCTTGCATCAAAACGCATTCGAAACCATTGTGAGAAGCATCATTGTATACTACATACTCTTTCCCTTCAATTGGAAGAGTAAGTATAGGCGCTTGAGTCAACAAGGATTTGAGAGTTTCAAAGCTCTCTTGACATTTGTCATCCCAAATAAACTTTACTTCCTTCTGCAAGAGCTTAGTCAAAGGAGATGCGATAATGGAAAAGCCTTTCACAAATCTTCTGTAGTATCCTGCTATGCCCAAGAAACATCTTATCTCGGTCGGACTTTTGGGAGGCCTCCATTCAACAACAGCTTGTATTTTACTAGGATCCACCTTCACATCTTCAGTTGATACAACATGTCCCAGAAAAGCTACTTCATCAAGCCAAAATTCACACTTGGAAAATTTAGCATAAAGTTCTTTCTCCTTCAAATTTTTCAAAATAATCCGGAGGTGTTTATCATGGTCTTCAATACTTCTGGAAAATATTAAAATATCATCTATAAAAACAACCACAAACTGGTCAAGATAAGGCTTGAATACTCGATTCATTAGATCCATGAATACCGCAAGAGCATTTGTCAATCCGGATGGCATCACAAAAAATTCATAATGACCATATCAAGTTCTAAAAGCAGTTTTAGGAATATCTGTCTCTCTAACACACAGTTGGTGATATCCAGACCTTACATCAAATTTGAGAATACTTTAGCACCTTTAAGTTGGTCAAACAAATCATCAATTCTTGGTAGTGGATATCTATTCTTGATTGTTATTATGTTCAATTGTCTAAAGTCAATACAAAGCCTAAGAGTGCCATATTTCTTCTTAACGAATAAAACAGGGGCTCCCCAAGGAGAAACACTAGGTCGAATAAAAACTTTCTCAAGTAGTTCTTGCAATTAAGCTTTCAATTCTCTTAACTCTGTTGGAGCCATTCTATAAGGGGTGATCGAAATAGGAGTAGATCCAGGAATAAGCTCGATTGAAAATTCAACCTCTCTTTCCGGGGGCAATCCCGGAAGGTTTTCTGGAAATACTTCTGGAAAATCACATACAGCAGGTATGTCCTTGATACAAGGACTCTTCAACTGTGTATCAACTATGTGAGCAAGGTATGCCCCACAACCTTGATGCATCAACTTTCTTGCCAAGGCCGCTGAAATAAAACTAGATGTCACTGATCTTTCACCTTGTACAATGATGTGTGAAAATGTAGGATCTTTAAAAGTCACATACTTAGACCTACAATCTACCACCGCATGATATTTATAACGACAATCCATCCTGATAATAACATCAAAATCCTTGAAGGGCATTTCAATCAAATCAGCAGCGAAGACTAGGTTTTGAACCAAGAAGGGACAATCTTGGTAAACTTGATTACACACAACTTGATAACCCAAAGGACTTTCAACCAGCACATCGTAATTAAGTCTCACAGATTTCACATTTTCAGGAAGAACAAGTGATGAACAAATATAGGAATGTGTAGAACCAGGATCAAATAATGTAAACACACATAAGCCAAATAAGTGAAATTTACCGACAACCACGTCTTGTCCATCTTGATCATCCCTTTGCCTCATAGCATAAGCGTGTGCAGTAGCCCTTTGCCAACTAGCTTGATTAGCTCCACTTTTACCTGCTGCCTGGGTGATTTTAGGTCTTGCACCTCTATTAGTTTGAGGAGGATTAACAGAAGGCTTATGAACTGAGACTTCAGTTTTAAAGGAAGGAGCATTACTAGGATTAGGACAATTTTTCACTTTTGATCAAAGCTCCCACAATTGAAACATGCACCAGAAGCTCTCCTGCAAGTGCCATAATGATTCTTTCCACATTGTGGACAAGTACGAACGCGAGGCTTGCCTTGGCCATAATTTGGGGTGCTAGCTGTAGAAACTTCTAATTTTCTTTGCCTTTGTTGAGGTGGCCTGTTATCACTACCAGCCTTGGAATTATCAAACCTTCCCCTTTTGGATGGACCCCCAAAATCTGGTCTAGTCTTTCGGAATTTGTTTTCATTTCTACTAGCTTCTTCTTTATCAAGTCGTTCCCAATTAAAAGCAGCAGACACTAACTTACAAAATTTCTCATGTTGTAGGATCACCACATTCTTCCTAATGGAATCATTTAAACCGTCGTCAAAACTTCCTGCACTTGTCTTTTTTCCTCTTTTAATAATACCACTAGCATAGCGAGAGAGCCTTAGAAACTTCTGTTCGTATTCAGCAATGACATGCCTCGTTGCCTTAGATTCAGAAACTCCTTTTCTTTGCATCACAATAAGCATGTGGGACATACTTCATACGAAATCCCTAAGAAAATCATCCCAAGTAAGAACAGGATGTTTTACCTTGGCATTCAGAACACTTACCCACCAATCGTAAGCATCCTTTTGTAATAGTGAAATAGCATACTTTAATTTTGCAACATCTGAACACTCTAACTGCTCAAATACCTTCTCTATGCGATCAAGCCATTGTTCAGCATCAGTGGGATCAACAATGCCTTTAAACTCCACCCATTTTCCTCATTTTCTCAAAGTTAATCTCGTGGGGATCATGCATCGATTCAGCCATGTGGTGGAAGAATTTAGCCATTTGTTGAAAATGAGGATTCATGGTTTGAGTACCATGACTCATGTGAGGATGTGGACCAGCTCTTACACTCTGATGGTTTCCCACCTCAGAACCACTAGTGTGGGGAACATACTGATTCGAGATATGTTCTCCAACCCCTTCCAGTGCATGAGGTTGGGAAACAGAGGCACCCGAACCTTCACGAGCAGCTTTCATAGGTCGGTCAGAAGAAGTGGCCATGACTTAATTCCTTCAAAAGGAAAGATCACATTGCATTAGGGATATGTACTTGATGCATATGCACTCTACATGCGATTAAAACATTACAAACCATGTAATTGACCAAATAATACAAATAGAACCTTTTTCGAAAGTGAACAAGTATACAAGTAATTCAAATCAAAATTCCTAGAACCACAAACCTAGGCGCTGATACCAACACTTGAAGTGACCCTTTTTAAAGAGACTTAACTTATACTTGCGACACTCAAAAGCGATTAACGATGGTGTACTGATTTTAATATAGTAGAGGGATTAGATGCATAATGACCTTCAAAAAGTAATTTAAGCAAATAACCGACGAGCTTTTCATGTATATATATATTCCTCACACTCAAGGATGAAATAACAAGGATATTACAAGCTTTCGAGTACTGAAATCAGCCTGCTCATGCTTCACACAAACATTCGAAAGTAATAGTAGATTTAGGATATTACAAGACTTGGGTTTACACACCCCAAAAAGAACAAAACATATAGCCATATTTATATTACAATTCATGGTGACATGATCAAATCAGCCCTCAAAATCCCATGTAAATATACAACACATAGAATATGTACAAGTCTCAAGGTTTATACAAAATATAGATGCCTATATGCAAAACTGATCTTCCTTAAGGCTCCCAAAACATCCATCTCCAATGGCCAGCTTCAAGCATCATCTCGAACAGCCCCTACGATAGAAACAACTATCGCTAAGCATATAGCTTAGTGGTGTAAAAACTATAGGTTTGGATCCCTCAAATTCAGCAAGTTTTCATTCTCAAGTCAAGGGCAACATAATTGAACATAATAAATAAATCAAGTAAACAATATATAAAGAGTATCAAGTTCGATATTTAGAGATCCAAATGTCAAGAATGCTCATAGCACAACTTTTCAAGAGATTCAACAACAAGGCTCACCCAATATATACATCATGTCGTCACACCAAGCAAAAGCAGGTATCCAGAAGGGTCAAAACCCAATAATCAAGAGAACCAAGAACCATATTAAAAATGGCTTTCTAGTTCGTACTTAAAAAGGGACAACTTCCATTCTTAAGACGAACTAAAAATCCAAAGTCAAGATGGCAAATGATCCGAATC